CTGAAGAACACTGAGTAACCCTGGGCTACACTGAAGAACACTGAGTAACACTGAGTAACACTGGGCTACACTGAAGAACACTGAGTAACACTGGGTTACACTGAAGAACACTGAGTAACACTGGGTAACACTGGGCTACACTGAAGAACACTGAGTAACACTGGGTTACACTGAAGAACACTGAGTAACACTGGGTAACACTGGGTTACACTGAAGAACACTGAGTAACACTGGGTTACACTGAAGAACACTGAGTAACACTGGGCTACACTGAAGAACACTGGGTAACACTGGGTTACACTGAAGAACACTGAGTAACACTGGGTAACACTGAAGAACACTGGGTAACACTGGGTTACACTGAGTAACACTGGGTAACACTGGGCTACACTGAAGAACACTGGGTAACACTGGGGTACACTGAAGAACACTGAGTAACACTGGGTAACACTGAAGAACACTGGGTAACACTGGGCTACACTGAAGAACACTGGGTAACACTGGGCTACACTGAAGAACACTGGGTAACACTGGGTTACACTGAAGAACACTGGGTAACACTGGGCTACACTGAAGAACACTGAGTAACACTGGGCTACACTGAAGAACACTGGGTAACACTGGGCTACACTGAAGAACACTGAGTAACACTGGGTAACACTGAAGAACACTGGGTAACACTGGGCTACACTGAAGAACACTGGGTAACACTGGGCTACACTGAAGAACACTGGGTAACACTGGGCTACACTGAAGAACACTGAGTAACACTGGGCTACACTGAAGAACACTGAGTAACACTGGGTTACACTGAAGAACACTGAGTAACACTGGGCTACACTGAAGAACACTGAGTAACACTGGGTTACACTGAAGAACACTGAGTAACACTGGGTTACACTGAAGAACACTGAGTAACACTGGGCTACACTGAAGAACACTGAGTAACACTGGGCTACACTGAAGAACACTGAGTAACACTGGGCTACACTGAAGAACACTGAGTAACACTGGGTTACACTGAAGAACACTGGGTAACACTGGGCTACACTGAAGAACACTGGGTAACACTGGGCTACACTGAAGAACACTGGGTAACACTGGGCTACACTGAAGAACACTGAGTAACACTGGGTAACACTGAAGAACACTGGGTAACACTGGGCTACACTGAAGAACACTGAGTAGGGCCCTATGAAATCCGTTTTATTTTTTCCCAAATTCCGTTTTATTTTTTCCCAAATTCCGTTTTTTCCGTTTAAATTTTTGGGAATTCATTTTTTTTTACCCTTTACTGTTATTTTAGTCATAAAAAGAGTGTGCTTTTAAAGTTAATGATTAAAATGTATACAAATAAAATAGGAATGACCTTAAATTACAGACATTTACTCAGTAGCCTTTTCAGGACAAATACTGCATGATGCAACATGACACTGCACTCTTCAAGTAACAACAAAATATGGTTATGAGCTTTAAACTGTCCAGTAAAATAAATTATATTAGTTTAAATAAAAGTCACACTCTGTCTCTCTCTCGCCCAGTGTCGCTCGCGGAGTTCGCTTCGCTTTTGTCCAGTCCGGCGCCTCATAGACAGACGCGGTGTGTGTGTGTGTGTGTGTGTGTGTGTGTGTGCGCGTGTGTGTATGTGAGAGAGACGCGTGAGTGTTAGAGAGACGAAACGGAATATGTGGCGGCCGGAGTTGATTTTGTGGCCGCGAATTAGTCTATGTGTGGGAAACACTGCATAAAAGTCACGTGCAAACTGCTCGGCTCGGTACTGAGGGCTTATAGCGTCGAGTTTCTTAACTTTTTCGCCGACGAAAGCAGAGTCGTGGAGAGCCGCTTCGCCATGCTTTCATTGTTTTGATGCCGTCATTGGAGCTGAAATGACGGGAGGGGTTGTGTCGCCCAGATTTGCTTCCCCCGGTCTGCATTTTCACCAGACATACGTTCTTCTCCCACACAAAAACAGAATTTCAATCCAAATATGTAAAATTCCACAAAATTCCGCGTTAACACTAGATTCCGCGTTAATTTGCCAATTCCGTAATTCCGTCCGCGATTCCGTAATCGCGGAAATCATAGGGCCCTAACTGAGTAACACTGGGCTACACTGAAGAACACTGGGTAACACTGGGGTACACTGAAGAACACTGAGTAACACTGGGTAACACTGAAGAACACTGGGTAACACTGGGCTACACTGAAGAACACTGGGTAACACTGGGCTACACTGAAGAACACTGAGTAACACTGGGCTACACTGAAGAACACTGGGTAACACTGGGTTACACTGAAGAACACTGAGTAACACTGGGCTACACTGAAGAACACTGGGTAACACTGGGTTACACTGAAGAACACTGAGTAACACTGGGTTACACTGAAGAACACTGGGTAACACTGGGCTACACTGAAGAACACTGGGTAACACTGGGTTACACTGAAGAACACTGAGTAACACTGGGTTTGAGTGTCAGTGTGTGTCTGGTGCAGCTGTGTTGCTGGCAACTAACAACCAACTCTTGTGTATGTATGTTGTTTTTGTGCTTGTCGTTCGTTTATCATCTTCGGTTTATTTTTCGTGAAGCACTATTTTGTTGTGCTTCTGCTAAGATAAACAGACATCCACTCGTGTGTAAGCTAGTGAGAGTCGTGCTGGAGAACGAGGTGTTTACTGTTTAGGGTCCTTGTTAGTGCAGCCGCCTCACTGGCAGTGATCGGGGTTCGAGACTCAGAGCAGAGGTTATGATTGGAGGATTGAGCTTTGGAGGCGGAGCCATGTAGAGAGGGGTGTGTTTCTTTGGGTCGATTTCAAATATCAACAATGTTCAGCAACGACTTTGAGAAATAACACACTGCACCTTTAAGTCAAGTCTTTTCTCAAGATCCTGAAAGGGCAGATGATCACAAAATAAGCCCAGGGTAATTAGGACTTTAAGGTTTACTTTACAATAATGAACAGTAGGGGTGACCCCGAATAGTCGAAGATTCGATGCTTCGATAGGAGGAGCCTGATTCGACTACCAATCTCACGGTCGAATCTTCGCAGATGTGTTATTAATGAGGATTATGTCATTTTGGCTATATGAGTGTGCTCAATGTCTGATTTCACATAGAACTACTGGTTTTCTGTCAATACGTTAATATACAGCCTATTATGATAATGCTGTCAATAAAAATGTGCAAAGAAAGAAGCTTTTAATAAATATTTTGTAACGTGCATGCAGCGTGAATAAATCCAAACACCCCGTGACAGATTTAAGTTTCACTTTCGATCCGTGACCGACAGAGGAGCGTCTTGTCGGCAGGGATTTAAATCTTTAAAAATGTCTGGGATAAGAAAATCTAAAGATGCACACCATCAGAAAGGATATTCTCCAAGGCTGGATTTCGCATCAGGAAAACCATGATCGCACTTCTGCCGGCCAACGTTAACAGGTTGGTTTTCCTCGGGACATTCTAAAACGCTTAACGTGAAAAAAGCTTTTAAAACGCTTAAATGGCACTTTTACGTGCTTAATGTGTACACAGTAGGCTACACACCTTAAGAAACCATTCTATGTGCAGATAAGCAGATGAACCCAGAATATGAACGCAACGCGTTTCTCCTATAGAAAGTCACGTAAAGCTCTTTCTTTAACGGTTTTCTATGGGAGGAAAATGCTTAACGTAGCCTATAATAAAACGCGTTGCGTTCATATTCTGGGCTCATCTGCTTTTCTGTAGGCTATATAGTACTATGCTTTATTAATAAGGTGTGTACAGAATTTGATCTTTTAATATAACAGTTTTAGGACAAAGCCGTTAAACGTTTTTCACGTTAAGCGTTAGAATGTATTTTATCCGCGCACACAATTTGAAAAGACTCAAACGGACACAGGCCGAGTGAAAGACTGGATTTTGTTTTTTCGATCAGGTATGGGTAGCTACAAGTGATTTCAAAACATTTCAGCCGGTTCTAATTTGATTTTTGGATACTGTGAACACGTTTAGCTAAAAATCCTTTATTTATTCAAGCGTTTATTGTTGTTTCAGCAGTTAAAAAGACAAAGTTGACAATCCTGGGCCATACTTTCGTTATTTTAATAATTTCTTTATTTTTATTTTATTAATTGATCACTCAGGGTGATCTAATTTAACTATTTGTGACTTGTGTTTTGAATATTTGTTCCCCTGCACTTTAGGCATTTTGCACACATTTGTTCTGCTTCTTGTGACTTGATTCTGACTTATTTCGTTTTGTATTTTTATTTATTATAAATGTATATTGTGTTCTTAATTGTTGATTATTTTTCAGTGCATCGATGTTGCGCTGTAGGCTTACTTAGAGCATGCTCGTACAGGCAATTCAGCCGATTTAATTTGATTTGCATGTGAAATGCAAATCCTATGCAGTGTGGCCTTTCTGCAGTTATTTATGTTATTTCTTAGTTTTATTGATCCAAAATGTTTTTATACATTTTCTTCTATATCTTTGTGTGATGTTCTGTAGATCGCGGCTTTAAAATGTTAAAGCCCCGCCCCCTCCCCAACACCACACACATGATTCGACTATTAGTCGACTATAGGCAGGACTTGACGAATCTGATTCGAATATGAAAATCCTTAGTCGGGGACACCCCTAATGAACAGATTACTGTACATTATCCCACTTATCACACAACATGACATACTGTTCTGAGTTTAAATAGTTACTGCCTTCCTTTTAGACCAGATTAAAGCTTCCTTAAAGAAAACAGCCAAGACAAACACTCTGACAATATTTATTTATAAATGTATATTTTCTATGGACTAGCTAATATATTTAGCTTTAACATTATGCGTCCTCTTCCGTTTCAAGTTCTGACACGTCCAGTAGTTTCTCTGATCTCTAACCCTGTCAGGTCAAATGTGACCTAAATCGGTGACGATACTTCACATATTCTGGCCAGATTCTCTTGGTCATCGTTTATTCCCCAGATGACTGAGATAACGCGAGTCTCCATCATGACACTGACCTGCTTCCACAGGAACTTCACCGCTTCTTCTTGCACACGTCTCTGCAGTCGGTCTTCTTCTTGTTGCTTGCGCACCCTGCAAAGCATTATAGTTACTGGGAAATACTTTACACTGTTTAAGCTTACGTTATAGTTGAAGCCGTTTTAGTGTTTGAACTAATCAGCGAATCACAGAAATACAGATAAACACAGATAAAACTTTTCAAATCTTTCCTTTAGTCTTTATTCAGTGAATCTTTCTAACAAAGTCTTGATGACTTTTCACCATTAAACACAAATGTCAAACAATTGCAAGAGTTTCACCTGTCCAGTTCTGCGGTCAGGTGGACGATGTGGTCCTGCATTCTGCGCAGGCGTATCTCGGCTCGCACTTCTCTGGCCTGTGTGTGACAGTGGCGTGTGTGGTGACCCCTCCACCAGGCCTGGATCCTCACAGCGGCGTCATGTGCTTTACACTGCATCCCAGTCCCAGTCCCAGTCCTCCCACAGTCCTCCACAGTCTTCCCACAATCCTCCACAGGCCCGTTCTGGAACACGGCATCCCCGTTAAACTGTGCGTCTGTGTGACTGAGGTGCTCCAAACCACCCGATCCATGTGTGTGAGAGGCGAGGATAGCTCCGCCCCCTGACTCCTCACCCGGTGGGTGGAGCTGAGCAGATGTGGGAGGAGCCAGGGAATCCTCAAACTCCTCCTCCCCACTATCAGGAGCTGACTCTGGATGATGGACCACAGGGTTAAAGGGTAAGAAGGCAGATTCAGAGGACAGCAGACTCCCATGATGCATCTCTTCATCCATCACGTCCTCCACAATCATCCGGTCCTCATCAGCGAGTGGAAGCCGGGCCGCAGAGACGACAGGTGTAGAAGACTCGGCGCACATCCACGAGTTCATCTGAACACCTGGAACCACATCTGCAATAATAATGGAGGAAGAATCACGACAGGAGAAAAGACACTGAAGAGAGATGCACTGAGAATGAACTGTGGTCCCGAAAGCCCAGTGTTTTCATGCATATTAAGCACCTAGATCACAAAAAGAATCATGTAGATCAGTCAATAACGCAAGCATGCCCATGAAACTAGCACTGATGTCAACTGGCACCGGGAAAATGACAGAGATCATTTTGTCTCATTTAACTTAAAAATTCATGATTGTTTAAAAGTGTCTCTTTTAGATGCGCAGTGTCAGGAGTGATCGTTAGTTAGCCAAGCAGTTTCCCTGTCACAGTTAGGTAATGTTGACGAGAGTCTGGCCCGCTTGTTTCTACCGTGTTGAAGTGTAACGCGTGTAGTGATTAACTGTAACGCGTGTAGTGATTAAGTGTGATTAACTGTAACGCGTGTAGTGATTAAATGTGATTAACTGTAACGCGTGTAGTGATTAAGTGTGATTAAGTGTAACGCGTGTAGTGATTAACTGTAACGCGTGTAGTGATTAAGTGTGATTAACTGTAACGCGTGTAGTGATTAAGTGTGATTAACTGTAACGCGTGTAGTGATTAAGTGTGATTAACTGTAACGCGTGTAGTGATTAACTGTAACGCGTGTAGTGATTAAGTGTGATTAAGTGTAACGCGTGTAGTGATTAAGTGTAACGCGTGTAGTGATTAAGTGTAACGCGTGTAGTGATTAAGTGTGATTAACTGTAACGCGTGTAGTGATTAAGTGTGATTAACTGTAACGCGTGTAGTGATTAAGTGTGATTAACTGTAACGCGTGTAGTGATTAACTGTAACGCGTGTAGTGATTAAGTGTGATTAAGTGTAACGCGTGTAGTGATTAAGTGTAACGCGTGTAGTGATTAAGTGTAACGCGTGTAGTGATTAAGTGTGATTAACTGTAACGCGTGTAGTGATTAAGTGTGATTAAGTGTAACGCGTGTAGTGATTAACTGTAACGCGTGTAGTGATTAAGTGTGATTAACTGTAACGCGTGTAGTGATTAAATGTGATTAACTGTAACGCGTGTAGTGATTAAGTGTGATTAAGTGTAACGCGTGTAGTTATTAACTGTAACGCGTGTAGTGATTAAGTGTGATTAACTGTAACGCGTGTAGTGATTAAGTGTGATTAAGTGTAACGCGTGTAGTGATTAAGTGTAACGCGTGTAGTGATTAAGTGTAACGCGTGTAGTGATTAAGTGTGATTAAGTGTAACGCGTGTAGTGATTAAGTGTGATTAAGTGTAACGCGTGTAGTGATTAAGTGTAACGCGTGTAGTGATTAAGTGTAACGCGTGTAGTGATTAAGTGTAACGCGTGTAGTGATTAAGTGTAACGCGTGTAGTGATTAAGTGTGATTAAGTGTAACGCGTGTAGTGATTAAGTGTAACGCGTGTAGTGATTAAGTGTAACGCGTGTAGTGATTAAGTGTGATTAAGTGTAACGCGTGTAGTGATTAAGTGTAACGCGTGTAGTGATTAAGTGTGATTAACTGTAACGCGTGTAGTGATTAAATGTGATTAACTGTAACGCGTGTAGTGATTAAGTGTGATTAAGTGTAACGCGTGTAGTGATTAACTGTAACGCGTGTAGTGATTAAGTGTGATTAACTGTAACGCGTGTAGTGATTAAGTGTGATTAACTGTAACGCGTGTAGTGATTAAATGTGATTAACTGTAACGCGTGTAGTGATTAAGTGTGATTAAGTGTAACGCGTGTAGTTATTAACTGTAACGCGTGTAGTGATTAAGTGTGATTAACTGTAACGCGTGTAGTGATTAAGTGTGATTAAGTGTAACGCGTGTAGTGATTAAGTGTAACGCGTGTAGTGATTAAGTGTGATTAAGTGTAACGCGTGTAGTGATTAAGTGTGATTAAGTGTAACGCGTGTAGTGATTAAGTGTAACGCGTGTAGTGATTAAGTGTAACGCGTGTAGTGATTAAGTGTAACGCGTGTAGTGATTAAGTGTAACGCGTGTAGTGATTAAGTGTGATTAAGTGTAACGCGTGTAGTGATTAAGTGTAACGCGTGTAGTGATTAAGTGTAACGCGTGTAGTGATTAAGTGTGATTAAGTGTAACGCGTGTAGTGATTAAGTGTAACGCGTGTAGTGATTAAGTGTAACGCGTGTAGTGATTAAGTGTAACGCGTGTAGTGATTAAGTGTGATTAAGTGTAACGCGTGTAGTGATTAAGTGTGATTAAGTGTAACGCGTGTAGTGATTAAGTGTAACGCGTGTAGTGATTAAGTGTAACGCGTGTAGTGATTAAGTGTAACGCGTGTAGTGATTAAGTGTGATTAAGTGTAACGCGTGTAGTGATTAAGTGTAACGCGTGTAGTGATTAAGTGTGATTAAGTGTAACGCGTGTAGTGATTAAGTGTAACGCGTGTAGTGATTAAGTGTAACGCGTGTAGTGATTAAGTGTAACGCGTGTAGTGATTAAGTGTAACGCGTGTAGTGATTAAGTGTGATTAAGTGTAACGCGTGTAGTGATTAAGTGTGATTAAGTGTAACGCGTGTAGTGATTAAGTGTAACGCGTGTAGTGATTAAGTGTGATTAAGTGTAACGCGTGTAGTGATTAAGTGTGATTAAGTGTAACGCGTGTAGTGATTAACTGTAACGCGTGTAGTGATTAAGTGTGATTAAGTGTAACGCGTGTAGTGATTAACTGTAACGCGTGTAGTGATTAAGTGTGATTAAGTGTAACGCGTGTAGTGATTAAGTGTAACGCGTGTAGTGATTAAGTGTAACGCGTGTAGTGATTAAGTGTGATTAAGTGTAACGCGTGTAGTGATTAAGTGTGATTAAGTGTAACGCGTGTAGTGATTAAGTGTAACGCGTGTAGTGATTAAGTGTAACGCGTGTAGTGATTAAGTGTGATTAAGTGTAACGCGTGTAGTGATTAAGTGTGATTAAATGTAACGCGTGTAGTGATTAAGTGTGATTAAGTGTAACGCGTGTAGTGATTAAGTGTAACGCGTGTAGTGATTAAGTGTGATTAAGTGTAACGCGTGTAGTGATTAAGTGTAACGCGTGTAGTGATTAAGTGTAACGCGTGTAGTGATTAAGTGTGATTAAGTGTAACGCGTGTAGTGATTAAGTGTGATTAAGTGTAACGCGTGTAGTGATTAAATGTAACGCGTGTAGTGATTAAGTGTGATTAAGTGTAACGTGTGTAGTGATTAAGTGTAACGCGTGTAGTGATTAAGTGTAACGCGTGTAGTGATTAAGTGTGATTAAGTGTAACGCGTGTAGTGATTAAGTGTGATTAAGTGTAACGCGTGTAGTGATTAAATGTAACGCGTGTAGTGATTACGTGTGATTAAGTGTAACGCGTGTAGTGATTAAGTGTGATTAAATGTAACGCGTGTAGTGATTAAGTGTGATTAAGTGTAACGCGTGTAGTGATTAAGTGTGATTAAGTGTAACGCGTGTAGTGATTAACTGTGATTAAGTGTAACGCGTGTAGTGATTAAGTGTAACGTGTGTAGTGATTAAGTGTAACGCGTGTAGTGATTAAGTGTAACGCGTGTAGTGATTAAGTGTGATTAAGTGTAACGCGTGTAGTGATTAAGTGTGATTAAGTGTAACGCGTGTAGTGATTAAATGTAACGCGTGTAGTGATTAAGTGTGATTAAGTGTAACGCGTGTAGTGATTAAGTGTGATTAAGTGTAACGCGTGTAGTGATTAAGTGTGATTAAGTGTAACGCGTGTAGTGATTAAGTGTGATTAAATGTAACGCGTGTAGTGATTAAGTGTGATTAAGTGTAACGCGTGTAGTGATTAAGTGTAACGCGTGTAGTGATTAAGTGTAACGCGTGTAGTGATTAAGTGTGATTAAGTGTAACGCGTGTAGTGATTAAGTGTAACGCGTGTAGTGATTAAGTGTGATTAAGTGTAACGCGTGTAGTGATTAAGTGTAACGCGTGTAGTGATTAAGTGTAACGCGTGTAGTGATTAAGTGTAACGCGTGTAGTGATTAAGTGTGATTAAGTGTAACGCGTGTAGTGATTAAGTGTGATTAAGTGTAACGCGTGTAGTGATTAAGTGTAACGCGTGTAGTGATTAAGTGTGATTAAGTGTAACGCGTGTAGTGATTAAGTGTGATTAAGTGTAACGCGTGTAGTGATTAAGTGTGATTAAGTGTAACGCGTGTAGTGATTAAATGTAACGCGTGTAGTGATTAAGTGTGATTAAGTGTAACGCGTGTAGTGATTAAGTGTGATTAAGTGTAACGCGTGTAGTGATTAAGTGTGATTAAATGTAACGCGTGTAGTGATTAAGTGTGATTAAGTGTAACGCGTGTAGTGATTAAGTGTAACGCGTGTAGTGATTAAGTGTAACGCGTGTAGTGATTAAGTGTGATTAAGTGTAACGCGTGTAGTGATTAAGTGTAACGCGTGTAGTGATTAAGTGTGATTAAGTGTAACGCGTGTAGTGATTAAGTGTAACGCGTGTAGTGATTAAGTGTAACGCGTGTAGTGATTAAGTGTAACGCGTGTAGTGATTAAGTGTAACGCGTGTAGTGATTAAGTGTAACGCGTGTAGTGATTAAGTGTAACGCGTGTAGTGATTAAGTGTAACGCGTGTAGTGATTAAGTGTGATTAAGTGTAACGCGTGTAGTGATTAAGTGTAACGCGTGTAGTGATTAAGTGTAACGCGTGTAGTGATTAAGTGTAACGCGTGTAGTGATTAAGTGTGATTAAGTGTAACGCGTGTAGTGATTAAGTGTAACGCGTGTAGTGATTAAGTGTGATTAAGTGTAACGCGTGTAGTGATTAAGTGTAACGCGTGTAGTGATTAAGTGTAACGCGTGTAGTGATTAAGTGTAACGCGTGTAGTGATTAAGTGTGATTAAGTGTAACGCGTGTAGTGATTAAGTGTAACGCGTGTAGTGATTAAGTGTAACGCGTGTAGTGATTAAGTGTAACGCGTGTAGTGATTAAGTGTGATTAAGTGTAACGCGTGTAGTGATTAAGTGTGATTAAGTGTAACGCGTGTAGTGATTAAGTGTAACGCGTGTAGTGATTAAGTGTAACGCGTGTAGTGATTAAGTGTAACGCGTGTAGTGATTAAGTGTGATTAAGTGTAACGCGTGTAGTGATTAAGTGTAACGCGTGTAGTGATTAAGTGTAACGCGTGTAGTGATTAAGTGTAACGCGTGTAGTGATTAAGTGTAACGCGTGTAGTGATTAAGTGTGATTAAGTGTAACGCGTGTAGTGATTAAGTGTAACGCGTGTAGTGATTAAGTGTAATGAAGATGAAACCGCAGGGCGATGAAACCCTTTATCTACCATAACTGTACACTTGTAAATAACATATCTGTACATTCATTTAAACTATTATACAAATGTTTATTTATTTTTTTTTCTATATATTTCTACTACTGTATGATATCGCATTATTTTTGTTTCTTATATTATTGTTATATTTCATTTCTACTGTGTAATTCCTATGTTTGTCTGCACTAGGTCTGTACTTTCTTCTGCTGTCACCAAGATCAACTTCTTGTGTGTGAAAACAACAAACTTGGCAAATGAAGCTCAGTCTGATTCTGATTCTGATTAACATGGCTGTGTGGAAACGGATCTGCTAAACTGGATTGCAGGGGCTGGTGCATAGATATAAACACTAGACGTCGCCTTGGGGTTCTAAACATGCGTCAAAACCGCCGCCATCTTGGAACAGGGGTCTTGTCATTGGAAGTAGCTAGGTAACGCTGAATTCATGGATGATGCCGGACTTTTGTGCTGCGTATGGATGTTTACACTAACGAAATCTAAAAACCAGACAGCAAGGGATTACATTTCACAAGATTGTGAAATTTTGTACTTTTTTTAAAATTTCTCTGGGCTCTATAATAAATACATGTCTGACCGTTGGAACGAACCAAAACAACTAGAAAATCACATTCATGACGATTTATGGTGATTTTATTTCCGTTAGACCTTTTCCTACATTGACGCTGATGAGGGGTTCCCCTGTTTCAAGATGGCGGCTCTATTGACGCATTCGTTCCAATGAACTGCCGTAGCCAAGGCGACATCTAGTGTTTATATCTATGGGGCTGGTGAAGAAGAGAGATCTGCGCTGATACACCACTGTGAAAAGTGGCACAACCGTTTAGTGTATTCCTGTGTCTGTGACCGATCTTACCTGTCTGAGGAATGACATCATCATCATCATCCTCATCATCATCCTCATCATCATCCTCATCTCGGCTCCTGTGGTCCCGACACTGATGCACGGGTAGATGTGTGGGCCGAGAGGGGTTCTGGGAACCGCAGAGATGTGTTTTCTGCAGCTGTTTCTGATGCTGTCTGCAGACACACACACACACACACACACACTGAAGATCAGGTTTGCTGTGGATTGCATGCAGTGTTTTGGATGCTACCTTTGCTTGTTGAGGATTTTCTCGAGTTTGGCGTCCTCCGCGGACTGTAATGCAGATGTGGCTGTTACGGGACAGGTGTTGGACAGGTACTGGACCAGCAGCCCGTGCTGACCGGGCCGAAACACTCGACCTTTGCCCTGACTGTACAGCCATTCTCCTTTCAGCCTGCAAACATTGAGGAATGTTGTCATGAGTAACGCTGTCTCAAAGGTTAGTTCACCCGAAGATGAAAGTTCTGTCATTAATTACTCTCCCTCATGTCGTTTCAAACTAGGGATGCTCCGATCCGATATTTGTATCTGGTATCGGGGTCGATACTGAATAAAATTCTAGATCGGGTATCGGCAACAATTGCCCCGATCTGCTAGGTGATATAAAAGTTTATGGAGATGCCGGCGATTAAAAGCTTTCGCGCCGCCGCTGTGCTGTGCGCAGTGTGTGACATCATACGCTAGCAACGTGAACAGCCAACAGCATGGAGCAAGCCAAAACATCTGTGATTTGAAGGTATTTCACAATAGTTATGCCAACAAGTTCCAACGTGGTTTGCAGTATTTGCCAAGTAAATGTTCCGAGGGGTGGTGATAAAACTTCGAATTATACTACAAATTTAATGAAGCATTTACAGAGATTTCTTAGCAGCGCCATGCGGTCTGTTATCAAGAAATAACAGACCACATTCTACATTAGAACTCAACCAAGCCATGTAATAAATAAATATATCTTCAGATGCCATATGTGTAGCTGTAACGCAGTTCAGATGTTATGGGAAGGAGGCGGGAACCGGCGAACATTCAAACATTTTAATAAATAAAACGCATTCAAAAATGAAAGTATAAGGGCCTGTTCGCATATCACGTCTTTTGCGCGCTCAAGTTCGGTATTTCAAATGTATGCGCTTTTCCAAGCACGTCCGCGCCCCATCGAGATAAAAACATCTCAACTTTCCAGAATGCTGCAAGAGCACCGTAGGTCACGTGACAAGAACCAACAGACGCCTCCGGAGCGCAACCGCCCTAGCGCTATATGTGACCCAGCCAGCAGCCCCTCGCGGACGACTGCTGGCCACAAACAAAACACAACATAACATCAGGCCTGCTGTTCCTCTCTCGTCCTTCAGCGTCGTAGCTCCTCCTTTAATGCTTCCGCTCCTCCGTGAAAGATAAGTATGCAGTAAATGACTAAAGTAATTTTTGAGACTTAGTTATTCAGCTGCATTTATTATTTTCTTTGTTTTACATGTTCTTTCTCACACTGTGACATGTATACTAGGGCATAAAAAAAAAAAAAGTTTGGTTCCGGTTTGTTGGCAGTTGAGGTCATGGGTCGGTAGGGATTTTTTTTTTTTTTTTTTTTTTTTTTTTTTTTTTTTTTTTTTAGTGGCAGCAGCAATGGATAGGTAGGAAATTATTCAGGGCTCGACCTTAAGCCTTTTCATGTGCTTGCCCTCCGAACAAGTAAATCTGTCATTCACTTGTCAGAGTAAAAAAGTTGCTTGTCCGGATTTTTTAAATTTTTTTAATTTATTTATTCTGAAGCAATGTTCTCATCAGTGTTCAATCAGCTTTGATATTTAAATTGGCATATTGTAATATCTGCACCTTTGAAGGGCATCCCCTCCCCCAATCTTATTAAATGCCCTATAGTGTCGTCTTATTCTAAATAATTGAATTTATTGATCAAATTTAGGAATTTAAAATGAAAGATGAAGCATACTGTTACCCTAAGTAGGGCTGATCAAATTAAATAATTTACACTGAAAAATTACAATTGCATAAAATAATGTTATGAAATTGATTTAAATGTACAAATAAGAAACATCGGAAAGAAGTATACTAGGCTACTTATAAACATAACACTAAACTGCCAATAGGTGGCGGCAGGCGGCCGTATTAATGAGTGAGTCATTGATTCATTAATTCAAACGATTCGTTTAAACGGTTGATTCATTCAAGAATGAGACGGATGTTTATGAATGGGTCATTGAATCTTTGACTCAACCGATTCGGTCAAAATGCTGAATCATTCAGTAATGAAAACAGGTTGAGTGTTCCTGTGAGATGCGCCGTGGTTCTGCTGTGATTTTTGTTTGGAACTATTTTCGCTGCAGAAACAGAACAAAAACAGCCAATATTTCATCTAAAATGTAAGTGACTTAATTGTAACTGTTTATTGAACTGTTGTAGGAAATCAATGTCACATTTTCAATTGTGATATGGTATTCAGGAAAAATAATTGAGGCTGCTTAACACATATGTTAAAATATAGAAACTCCACATTTAGATTTGTTTATAGGCAGTATGTTGTTAACTGAGTGTGTGTATGTGTGCTGCGCTCATGTGTGTAGATTTCTCCTCGAGAGGCTGCGCGAGCGTCAACAGCGCACCTCACCGTCAGCAGGCTAATGCATTTATTATCCACAATCGATCACAACTTACAATAAATGTAATAAAATCATTCTCTCGGTTTAGTGATTCCCTAGTTATTTGTTTGTTTGTTATTGATGTTCTAATCAGGCTACTTGTCCGTTCGGGCAAGTAAAATTCTCTTTTACTTGTCCTTCAAAAATCCATTTGTCGCGGACAAGCGGACAAGTTAGACGGGCTCTGGAGATACGAAGCGCGGCAGGTTAGAGTGTTTTGGATTGCATAAAGTAATAAAAGAAACGAACAAATACATGGCGAAAGAAGTGGTAGACAGCAGAAGAGGGTATTGGGATTTGGGATGATTTTTAATGAAACTTGGGAGGCGGATGGAGGTTACTCTGTAACTCATCATGTGGTGTGTGCGTGCCTATGAATGCATGCATTTGTATGTGTGCGTATATGAATAAAAGTGTCCTTAATGACAAAAAAAAACAAAAAAAACTTGTAGCCTATATGTATTATAGTTCAGTTTGACGAACGATGTGTGAACGACCATGTAGCTGCCTCGTTTGTTTTGCTGGAGGACAACAGATGGCATCTTGCATCGCGTGCTGTACAAAAACGTAAATTATAGTTCGCCTCAAAGTTTTTTATTTGTGTATTTATTTAATTTTTATTATTTCTTCCCCAAGCTCATAAAATAAATTTGGGTCGCACATAAATTGACAGGGTCGGTCGGAAACCGGAACCAAACAAATTTTTTTTTTAAGCCTAGTCTGTGACTGTAAATTTAAATGTAATAAGATGCCATGATGTAAAATTACTTTTAATAGAACTGAAAAAAATATGAATATTGAACAACATAATACTGTGGTTGCATACAGCTTATTAAGTAATTCAGTACTTTTAACATTTTACCTTTGTATCGGATCGGTACTCAGTATCGGCCAATACTGAATTTCAGGTATCGGAATCGGTATCGTAAACAAAAAAGGTGGATCGAAGCATCCCTATTTCAAACCCTAACCCTTTCATTCATCTTCAGACTCAAATAAAGATATTTTTAATGAAATCTGAGAGCTTTCTGTCGCTCCATTGACAGTCTGCGCAACTACCACTGTTCATAAAGAGATCGTAAAACTAATCAACATGAATTAAGCACATTTTCTGAAGAGACTCGATCGCTTTATATGATGAACAGACTTAATTTAGGCTTTTATTCACATATAAACATTCAGCATAATGTACACTACTGGAACTGCTGGATCATGTGTGTGTTTATGAGTGTTTATAAGTCCTGGTCCTGATGCTCGAGCGCTCTTTCGTATGTGACACAGTTCAGATCACAGAGCTCTTTCCTCATTGAGCTGATGATCTGAATCAAGTGTGTTTAATAAGTGAGACGTACAGAATGAACATGGAGGCGATGGAGCGCCCGGCCCAGGACTGGACACCCCTGAATCTCCTCACACTGGCTGTTGATGATCTGTGATTTAATGCAGAATGATGTGTGACAGACACTAGCGTCTGTTCAAAATGCTGTGTATTGCAACAGTAAAAGCCAGATTCAAACACAGACTGTAACTCTATTAGTGGAAAACTTGCCCTTCTTTCTGTGAGACGCTGAACCCGTCCAGCACCCGGAGCTGCAGACACCAGCTGACCACGTACGGGCGGTAGTCACAGGCGGGCAGAGCTGGCGTGGGCATCACACACGGGTTACTGGCGATGGAGAGCTGCTCCAGGGTGTGTAGCGGCGCTAAATACGACACCTGCAATCCACACACACACACACTAACCCAGGCTATACAACACCTGCAATCCACACACAACCGTGCGTGTGTGTGGTGTGTAGTAGTGTGTGTTGTGTACAGTAGTGTGTGTGGTGTACAGTAGTGTGTGTGGTGTACAGCAGTGTGTGTGTGTGTGTATACCTCAGCGAGGTCTCGGATCTCGTTCTCTGCCAGCGACAGCACCGTGAGGCTCGAGGGAAGGTGAGCAGGAACGCAGCGTAGAGTCGTGATGATGTTTCCATGCAGAAGAAGAGTCTGAGACGGGGACACATCAGTCTTAGCAGAAACATTCTCTTCACGCATTACATGAGACTCATCTCTCGACACATGGCTAATACCTTCAGCGCTGAGAGCTTGGTGAGGTCTCCTATGTGAGAGATGTTATTGTCTGACAGATCCAGATGCTGAAGAGAAACACAGCTGTGCAGCTGCTCGATGACCTGCACAAACACACTCATTCTGATTCTGACGAGGACACGAAGATTCAGCCTCATTTTCTATCACTGGTAGTCTGAAAACGAACTATCTAACTAACAAAGTACCTTAATGTTGTTTCCGGCCAGATTGAGCCACTGGAGGAGCGGCAGGTCCTTCAGGCCCTCGATGTATCCGATGCTGTTGTTTGGGAGGTTGAGAACGCGTAAGTTATTGAGCTTCGAGACGCCCATCATGCGCACCAGCCGGTTGGAGGCCACAGACAGCTGTGAACACACACACACACACACACAGGAGGTCAAACACACACACACACACCTGACCCACGGGCTGGAGGGCTAGTGTAAACACACACACCTGCTGAAGGGCCTCAGTGCGCTCCAGGTGCTCCAGCTTGATGATGTGGTTCTGGTCCAGAATAAGAGTGTGAGACTCTCCACTGAACAACTTCGGATCCAGTTTGTGGAGATTCTGCTTAGAAAGGTCTAATAAACCCGGACCTTAATAATCACAGAACAAAACAGTGAAACTCCATCTGTTCTAACAACACAGTTTCAATGTAAAGGTCAAATAAAATCTTCAGAGGGTTATTAATATCAAGTTTATTGATTAAAGAGATAACTGAAATCTGAAGCTGATGTCGACAGAAATAATCGACAAAAAAACGCTACATCCAGTGCAAATAATTTAAATAAACCCCATCCTATCAGATGTGTTATAAACATCAGATATGTGGATGAAATCCTGTCAGTGTAAAAACAGCAGATTTCAGATTTCTGCACATTATGACAGAAACCGATCAGACGTCCATTCGTCACGAGCGCCACACGCTGCATGTTAAACACGTACGGCATGTACAATGGAAATACAATATAATATCTATCTAATCAACAGTACCGATTAATCTTTTTTAATTTCGTATACCTTGGTAATTATCCATTTGCTCCCCGGGATCGCGGATCTGCTCGTCACTCGCCGCCATACTTCCCGCTTGAGTCAGCCAGGCAACCGATACTCTATTTCATTGGATAAACGAATCTGGAAATAATAATAATTTTAAGTAATTTTATAAGCTAGCTGGTTGTAATTATATATCAAATGTATGTTTACTTAAAAAAAATAGTTTGCATTTGTGAAATAAGCTCCTTTATAAACCGCTTACCCACAATTCCTTTTCCTCTTCCCTATCTGAAACGCCGCCATGAAGTGAGTACAGTCTGTGTTCATCCTTTAACATCCTAAAGGTTATCGTGTAAAATCGCATTTAAAAAGGTTCATGGGTTAACAGTTAACATGTTTAATCTGTAATAACTCTTTATTTCTGATCTGCAGGGTCGAGCTGTGCAGTTTTAGTGGATACAAAATCTATCCCGGTCATGGCCGGCGCTACGCCAGGATCGATGGAAAGGTAAAAGCACAAACTACGAGAATTAGATTTTATTCAGTGTTGATCGATGAGTGACTTTTGGCATCTTGTGATGTGAACATGTATGTAAGTCCGGCAGTCTGCAGTTTGTTTATTCAGATTAGTACTGGCCGGTTAGTTAGCTTAAGTGCTAGCCAGAGGTAATGATTGGGTAACTTAAGTTAGTAACTGTGAGTGTGAGTGAGAGAAACCGTGTGTGTGAGTTGGATTGAACAGGCTTCAGGACTAAAAACCTAAATAAGAGAAGGTTCTTAATGCTGTGGGAAATATCGTCTGTTATTAATAGTTATGGTCTGTGCCTGAACTGAATGCATGTGACGTCAGGTCTCAGTATTAGTGAGGTCATGCTCCTGTAAACCTCTTTTCTGCAGGTCTTCCAGTTCCTGAATGCTAAATGTGAGTCTGCGTTCCTGTCCAAGAGGAACCCCAGACAGATCAACTGGACCGTTCTGTACCGGCGCAAACACAAGAAGGGCCAGTCTGTGAGTTTGACCCCGCCAGCTCTCCGTAGAGTCGCCCAACCCGATATCCCCAACCTGTGTCTGTGTAACTGTCGTTAAAATCATTATGATACTGATACCATGACTTCGACACGGGTTCCTGAACGATACTTCTGTTGATGCCAATTATATGAGCAGATGTTATTATAGCAGATGCTGGAACATTAATATGAAGAGCGCTGAACCGTTACACGGCACAAGATAACTCGTTTAAACTGAGTTACTCCGTTTTTTCTTTAGATTTTTTCTGGATGGTTAAATTAAAATTGTATTAATCAAAAAGCATGTGTAATTAATATCATGAAACATTTTCAATTTAACAGCAATTTAGTAACAGTTTAACAAAAATTACATTCTTAATGTTTTTTTGAAATATTTTAATTGAATTAATAAAAGGAACTTTAATTTGTGTACAATAATAGGGCCCTATGAATGAATTTTTTGTGTTTATTCAAATTTTTCTCTTAATCAAATGAAGGCATAAAACATTAATTTCTTTTATTAAAATGAAAATTAAACGAGCCCTTTAAGCCCACAGCAGAGGTTTACTGTTAAAATTATAACATTGAGGAAATTAGTTTTAATGTATTAGTAGTATTTAGTAGTCACATTAAGATGTAGATTATACTGTACAAGCAGGGCTTGACATAAACACCCGCCAACCCGCCAAATGCGGGTGGATTTTGCTCGTGGCGGGTAACACAGTCACTTCAACTAGCCACTTTGGCGGGTTGAATAATTGTAGTCTTTTCAAAAGGCATCTGAAGCGCACTGGCTGCGTGGCGTGCGCGTCTCCGCTGCGTGGTGTGTCCGTTTTTATTTCGGCTCCCATGTTAACAGGTTAGAACTTGCACACTGCCTGCGTGACGCGCGTCTCGAGCCGCGCCGAAAACGCGTGCATGCTAGAAAAAAAACCGACGCCTATTTCTCACGCGACACGCAAGCCTGTTGGAAAAGTTTCCAGGCTAAATAGAATAGGAAAATATGTCATGTTGACACGAACACATATTAATAAATGGCATTTTTATGTTTGAAAGTCCATAGGTTTTGGCAAATGCAGATATAATTTTTAAAAAATCAAATATTGCACCTGTCAATACAGAACGAAATATTCTTATAGCCTATTTTGCCGTCTATGCTGCAACGCCCGAATCCCGAGATAGCCCTCCATGTACGTTACCAGCAGACACCAGTCAGACACCAGTCAGACACGTTTCTGCTGTGCAAAGACACAGAAAACGCAACTTGTAACAACGAATTTCCCATCGGGGCTCAATAAAGTAATTCTGATTCTGATATTTAAACAGACAGTGTTTCTAATGCTAAAGGTTTTTTCAGTTTAGTTTTTTATATTTTTTTATTAATCTTCTACATCCATGCACCACTTTTATTATGCAATAAGAAGCTATGTCTTCATCTTAATACATGGTTTTATAGGAGCTTTAAAGGAGCTTTACACACAACCTTATCAGAGCTAATGATAATGACCTGTATTGTTATACCTAGTCTTGATTTGCGTGTGTACAGTGGTTTTACATTTAAAAGGGTTGTAAATCTAGTTCAAGTAAATTTTAGCACGCCATAGTCAACTTTAATCAGGTAATTTCACAACAACAAAAATGTGGCTAGTAAAAATGCTGTGTGGCTAGTAACTTTGGAAAACCACTAGCCACATTGGCTAGTGAGCAAAAAAGTTAATGTCAAGCCCTGTGTACAAGGGTAATTTAAGTAAGTTAAGTTAAGTAAGTTAAACCTAAGCTTTATTTTGACGGGTGGCTGTCAAGTCAAGTCACCTTTATTTATACAGCGCTTTTTATAATACAGATTTTATCAAAGCAGCTTCACAGTGATAACAGGAAAATAATACTAGAAGTTTGTTTCTAGAAGAAAATTGCGTCTACGTCCACCTTAAGGCAGATCAATAATATTATTGAATATTAAATGTCCCCAACTAAGCAAGCCAAAAGCCAAGGCAACAGTGGCAATGAACCCAAAGTGTAGAGCCGTGTAGAGCCGCTTCTGCGTCAGAACGTCGGCTCCCTATTGGCCAGCATCACACACATGACCAGCGTCGGCCAATAGTGAGCCTGTGTGTGTGCCCCCCCCCCCGTCAGGAAGAGGTGTCTAATGTTCGTGTGTGTGTGTGTGTGTGTGTGTGTGTGTTTGCCCCGTCAGGAACGGGTGTGTAATGTTCGTGTGTGTGTGTTTGCCCCGTCAGGAAGAGGTGTCTAATGTTCATGTGTATGTGTGTGTGTGTGTGTTTGTTTGCCCCGTGAGGAAGAGGTGTCTAATGTTCATGTGTGTGTGTGTGTGTGTTTGCCCCGTCAGGAAGAGGTGTCTAATGTTCATGTGTATGTGTGTGTGTGTGTGTGTGTGTGTTTGCCCCGTGAGGAAGAGGTGTCTAATGTTCATGTGTATGTGTGTGTGTGTTTTCCCCGTCAGGAAGAGGTGTCTAATGTTCATGTGTATGTGTGTGTGTGTGTGTGTGTGTTTGTTTGCCCCGTGAGGAAGAGGTGTCTAATGTTCATGTGTATGTGTGTGTGTGTGTGTGTGTGTGTGTGTGTTTGTTTGCCCCGTGAGGAAGAGGTGTCTAATGTTCATGTGTGTGTGTGTGTGTGTTTTCCCCGTCAGGAAGAGGTGTCTAATGTTCATGTGTGTGTGTGTGTGTGTTTGCCCCGTCAGGAAGAGGTGTCTAATGTTCATGTGTATGTGTGTGTGTGTGTGTGTGTGTGTTTGTTTGCCCCGTGAGGAAGAGGTGTCTAATGTTCATGTGTGTGTGTGTGTGTGTGTTTGCCCCGTCAGGAAGAGGTGTCTAATGTTCATGTGTATGTGTGTGTGTGTGTGTGTGTGTGTGTGTGTTTGCCCCGTGAGGAAGAGGTGTCTAATGTTCATGTGTGTGTGTGTGTGTGTTTTCCCCGTCAGGAAGAGGTGTCTAATGTTCATGTGTGTGTGTGTGTGTGTTTGCCCCGTCAGGAAGAGGTGTCTAATGTTCATGTGTATGTGTGTGTGTGTGTGTGTGTGTGTGTGTGTGTTTGTTTGCCCCGTGAGGAAGAGGTGTCTAATGTTCATGTGTGTGTGTGTGTGTGTGTTTTCCCCGTCAGGAAGAGGTGTCTAATGTTCATGTGTGTGTGTGTGTTTTCCCCGTCAGGAAGAGGTGTCTAATGTTCGTGTGTGTGTGTGTGTGTGTGTGTGTGTGTGTGTGTGTGTGTTTGTTTGCCCCGTGAGGAAGAGGTGTCTAATGTTCATGTGTGTGTGTGTGTTTTCCCCGTCAGGAAGAGGTGTCTAATGTTCGTGTGTGTGTGTGTGTGTGTGTGTGTTTGTTTGCCCCGTGAGGAAGAGGTGTCTAATGTTCGTGTGTGTGTGTGTGTGTGTGTGTGTGTGTGTGTTTGTTTGCCCCGTCAGGAAGAGGTGTCTAATGTTCATGTGTGTGTGTGTGTGTGTGTGTGTGTGTGTGTGTGCCCCGTCAGGAAGAGGTGTCTAATGTTCATGTGTGTGTGTGTGTTTGCCCCGTGAGGAAGAGGTGTCTAATGTTCATGTGTGTGTGTGTGTGTGTTTGCCCCGTCAGGAAGAGGTGTCTAATGTTCATGTGTGTGTGTGTGTATGTGTGCCCCGTCAGGAAGAGGTGTCTAATGTTCATGTGTGTGTGTGTGTTTGCCCCGTGAGGAAGAGGTGTCTAATGTTCATGTGTGTGTGTGTGTGTGTTTGCCCCGTCAGGAAGAGGTGTCTAATGTTCATGTGTGTGTGTGTGTGTGTTTGCCCCGTCAGGAAGAGGTGTCTAATGTTCATGTGTGTGTGTGTGTGTGTGTGTGTTTGTTTGCCCCGTGAGGAAGAGGTGTCTAATGTTCGTGTGTGTGTGTGTGTGTGTGTGTGTGTGTGTTTGTTTGCCCCGTCAGGAAGAGGTGTCTAATGTTCGTGTGTGTGTGTGTGTGTGTGTGCCCCGTGAGGAAGAGGTGTCTAATGTTCGTGTGTGTGTGTGTGTGTGTGTGCCCCGTGAGGAAGAGGTGTCTAATGTTCATGTGTGTGTGTGTGTGTGTGTGTGCCCCGTCAGGAAGAGGTGTCTAATGTTCGTGTGTGTGTGTGTGTGTGTGTGCCCCGTGAGGAAGAGGTGTCTAATGTTCATGTGTGTGTGTGTGTGTGTGTTTGCCCCGTCAGGAAAGGGTGTCTAATGTTCATGTGTGTGTGTGTTTGCCCCGTCAGGAACGGGTGTCTAATGTTCATGTGTGTGTGTTTGCCCCGTCAGGAAGAGGTGTCTAATGTTCGTGTGTGTGTGTGTGTGTTTGCCCCGTCAGGAAAGGGTGTCTAATGTGTGTGTGTGTGTTTGTTTGCCCCGTGAGGAAGAGGTGTCTAATGTTCATGTGTGTGTGTGTGTGTGTGTGTGTGTGTGTGTGTGTGTGTGTGTGTTTGCCCCGTCAGGAAGAGGTGTCTAATGTTCATGTGTGTGTGTGTGTGTGTGTGCCCCGTCAGGAAAGGGTGTCTAATGTTCGTGTGTGTGTGTGTTTGCCCCGTCAGGAAGAGGTGTCTAATGTTCATGTGTGTGTGTGTGTGTGTGTGTTTGCCCCGTCAGGAAAGGGTGTCTAATGTTCGTGTGTGTGTGTGTTTGCCCCGTCAGGAAGAGGTGTCTAATGTTCATGTGTGTGTGTGTGTGTGTTTGCCCCGTCAGGAAAGGGTGTCTAATGTTCATGTGTGTGTGTGTGTTTGCCCCGTGAGGAAGAGGTGTCTAATGTTCGTGTGTGTGTGTGTGTGTTTGCCCCGTCAGGAAAGGGTGTCTAGTGTTCATGTGTGTGTGTGTGTGTGTGTTTGCCCCGTGAGGAAGAGGTGTCTAATGTTCATGTGTGTGTGTGTGTGTGTGTGTGTTTGCCCCGTCAGGAAAGGGTGTCTAATGTTCGTGTGTGTGTGTGTTTGCCCCGTCAGGAAAGGGTGTCTAATGTTCGTGTGTGTGTGTGTTTGCCCCGTCAGGAAGAGGTGTCTAATGTTCATGTGTGTGTGTGTGTGTGCCCCGTCAGGAAAGGGTGTCTAATGTTCATGTGTGTGTGTGTGTGTGTGTGTTTGCCCCGTCAGGAAAGGGTGTCTAATGTTCGTGTGTGTGTGTGTTTGCCCCGTCAGGAAGAGGTGTCTAATGTTCATGTGTGTGTGTGTGTGTGTGTGCCCCGTCAGGAAAGGGTGTCTAATGTTCATGTGTGTGTGTGTGTGTGTGTGTGTTTGCCCCGTCAGGAAAGGGTGTCTAATGTTCGTGTGTGTGTGTGTGTTTGCCCCGTCAGGAAGAGGTGTCTAATGTTCATGTGTGTGTGTGTGTGTGTTTGCCCCGTGAGGAAGAGGTGTCTAATGTTCATGTGTGTGTGTGTGTGTGTGTGTTTGCCCCGTCAGGAAAGGGTGTCTAATGTTCGTGTGTGTGTGTGTGTTTGCCCCGTGAGGAAGAGGTGTCTAATGTTCATGTGTGTGTGTGTGTGTGTGTGTGTTTGCCCCGTCAGGAACGGGTGTCTAATGTTCATGTGTGTGTGTTTGCCCCGTCAGGAAGAGGTGTCTAATGTTCATGTGTGTGTGTGTGTTTGCCCCGTGAGGAAGAGGTGTCTAATGTTCATGTGTGTGTGTGTGTGTGTGTGTTTGCCCCGTCAGGAAGAGGTGTCTAATGTTCATGTGTGTGTGTGTGTTTGCCCCGTGAGGAAGAGGTGTCTAATGTTCATGTGTGTGTGTGTGTGTGTGTGTTTGCCCCGTCAGGAAAGGGTGTCTAATGTTCATGTGTGTGTGTGTGTTTGCCCCGTGAGGAAGAGGTGTCTAATGTTCATGTGTGTGTGTGTGTGTTTGCCCCGTCAGGAACGGGTGTCTAATGTTCATGTGTGTGTGTGTGTGTTTGCCCCGTCAGGAAGAGGTGTCTAATGTGTGTGTGTGTGTGTGTTTGCCCCGTCAGGAAGAGGTGTCTAATGTGTGTGTGTGTGTGTGTGTGTGTTTGCCCCGTCAGGAAGAGGTGTCTAATGTGTGTGTGTGTGTGTGTGTTTGCCCCGTCAGGAAGAGGTGTCTAATGTGTGTGTGTGTGTGTGTGTTTGTTTGCCCCGTGAGGAAGAGGTGTCTAATGTGTGTGTGTGTGTGGGTGTGTTTGTTTGCCCCGTGAGGAAGAGGTGTCTAATGTGTGTGTGTGTGTGTGTTTGTTTGCCCCGTCAGGAAGAGGTGTCTAATGTGTGTGTGTGTGTGTGTGTGTTTGTTTGCCCCGTGAGGAAGAGGTGTCTAATGTGTGTGTGTGTGTGTGTGTGTGTTTGTTTGCCCCGTCAGGAAGAGGTGTCTAATGTGTGTGTGTGTGTGTGTGGGTTTGCCCCGTCAGGAACGGGTGTCTAATGTGTGTGTGTGTGTGTTTGCCCCGTCAGGAAGAGGTGTCTAATGTGTGTGTGTGTGTGTGTGTGTTTGCCCCGTCAGGAAGAGGTGTCTAATGTGTGTGTGTGTGTGTTTGCCCCGTCAGGAAGAGGTGTCTAATGTTCGTGTGTGTGTTTGCCCCGTCAGGAAGAGGTGTCTAATGTGTGTGTGTGTGTGTTTGCCCCGTCAGGAAGAGGTGTCTAATGTGTGTGTGTGTGTGTTTGCCCCGTCAGGAAGAGGTGTCTAATGTGTGTGTGTGTGTGTTTGCCCCGTCAGGAAGAGGTGTCTAATGTGTGTGTGTGTGTGTTTGCCCCGTCAGGAAGAGGTGTCTAATGTGTGTGTGTGTGTTTGCCCCGTCAGGAAGAGGTGTCTAATGTGTGTGTGTGTGTGTGTTTGCCCCGTCAGGAAGAGGTGTCTAATGTGTGTGTGTGTGTGTTTGCCCCGTCAGGAAGAGGTGTCTAATGTGTGTGTGTGTGTGTGTTTGCCCCGTCAGGAAGAGGTGTCTAATGTGTGTGTGTGTGTGTTTGCCCCGTCAGGAAGAGGTGTCTAATGTGTGTGTGTGTGTGTGTGTTTGCCCCGTCAGGAAGAGGTGTCTAATGTGTGTGTGTGGGTTTGCCCCGTCAGGAACGGGTGTCTAATGTGTGTGTGTGTGTGTGTTTGCCCCGTCAGGAAGAGGTGTCTAATGTGTGTGTGTGTGTGTTTGCCCCGTCAGGAAGAGGTGTCTAATGTGTGTGTGTGTGTGTTTGCCCCGTCAGGAAGAGGTGTCTAAGAAGCGCACGCGGCGCGCGGTGAAGTTCCAGCGGGCGATCACCGGTGCGTCTCTGGCCGAGATCCTGGCCAAGAGGAACCAGAAGCCGGAAGTGCGTAAAGCGCAGAGAGAGCAAGCGATCAGGTGACCGGCCCGTGCGCTGCATTCACACTCGTCATGGTTTAACCTAAACTGGTTTGACTGCAGATTTGCAGTTCATTGTACAAACATGTGCTGTATGATTGACAGGTCAAAATTAATTTTCAAACCAACACTTTGGTCCAGAAGCCCTTGATTAGCTTGAGGTGTGGGGAATGGGGATGTGCGGTGAGGATGTGACGACGCATTTTGCTTTTGAATTAGTGGCAATTCGGGGACGTCATTTGCTTGAGTGGTGGGTTCATTATTATTCTTGATGAAAAACACACCCAACTAGAACTTTTATTAACAAAACTTAGACGCGTCTTGTGTGTGTGTGTGTGTGTGTGTGTGTGTGTGTGTGTGTGTGTGTGTGTGTGTGTGTGTGTGTGTGTGTGAGAGTTATCCTCCGAATACTGCCACCTTCATCAGACGAATTTGACAGATTTACACGTTCCCCATAACCATAAGCATTGGGTTTAAATCTAAAATATTGCCAAATAGGCGGTTTTTAGATTTCGATGTGAAAATCTTCCGTGTCGTCAGTCAGCTCGTCACGCTCGTGATAAACGAGATCCGACTCGCTCGTTCAGGAGACGAGGTTCCTCTAATCGCAGTGTTCTCTAACAGAACTGAACGGTTTGCATCAGTATTGAGAAGCGATGCGAGGGAGCCACAGGTGTGGACAGGGTTCCCGTGGATCCTTAAAAAGTCTTAAAGTCTTAAATTAGATTTTTAAAATTTAAGACCATAAAAAGTCTTAAGTCTTATTTTTACTTATGAAAGGTCTTAAATTTTAGATGACACTTTGACTTAGACATATCTAAAAGCTTTCCAAATTAAAACCATCTAATTAGCGTACGTATTTTTATTTATTTATTATTCTATCTTTGTGGATTTGCTAGTTCACGTGACATTTCGCGTCACTCGCGAGTCGCGGCAGCATAACTGTCTCCTGCACGCGAGAGGAGAGGAGAAGAAAGCTCGTAAATGTCAGTTCAGGTGTAAGTTCATTCTTTATGTGCGTATGGTGTGCGATCATGTGTATTGTCTATTATGATATTGTAATCATTGTTTTAACAATGTACGAGGCACTGCGAGCTGACATCGCATTTGTCTCTCGTGCTTTCACTGCGTGATGTGTGCAGTGTAACTGTTATGTCCCCAAGTTAGTTTTTGTCTTATATTTATATCATATTATGTTCTTATATCACAACAGAAAGAGTGCCGTTTTCCCGTGCACAATTCCAAGTGTGATATTTATGTTATACAACAGTTAAATTAACAATAAGTTAACATTGAAACTACTTTTTAGACACAATATTGTTAATATTGTTTGTTTTCCCTTTATTTCGCCGACTATAATTTCAAAATGAAACCGTAGCAGAGTCTCAATGCAACACAGCGATGATTTCTTGACTGAAATCCGCGTTTGAACGAATCACTTGCTGCTTTCCCGAATGAATCAGCCGTTTGAACGAATCACTTGCTGCTTTCCCGAATGAATCAGCCGTTTGAACGAATCGGTTGAATGAATGACTCCCTCAACTCACTTATTAAGACAGTGATTTGCCGCTGCGGTTTCATATTTAAAGTACCCTTTAAATAAAATGTTAAAATTAGAAATCATTTCATATTTAAATAGTGATTTAAAAATATATATCTCATAGCTTTATTTATGCAGTTGTAAATGGAGTGTAAATAAATTAATGCCACTTCTGATGCCGCTTCTGTCACCTCTGCACTGCAAAGATGGATTTTGATTGAATGATTTAATTTGACTGGTAACAGTGGTACTGTATGATTATTATATAATTAAGTATTATTGTATAATTACTGTATAATTTAATTTGAATGATAGTATTTGACATTAAAGGTGATGCATAACTCTAAAATAAGTTTAGAAAAAATGTCCATATATAGGTGAAAATGCCCCTGAAAAAATCAATTTAAGGTGGCAAATATTGCCCCTTAATCAAAATATTAATTTCTGTCACTGCTGTGAACTGACCACTGCATAGAATATGAAAAATATGAATATCTTCGTGAGTCAGCTGTCAACAACAGACCTAAACCAGCCATGGCACCAGCACAAAAACACAATCAGTAAAATATCATCTAATTATTATCAACAAAACGTTGAAAATATCAAGATATATTTGTCAATACTGCACAGCCCTAATGTACGGTATTAATTTTGATTTCTTAAGGTCTTAAAAAGGTCTTAAAAAGCCTTAAATTTGACTTTCAAAAGTGTGCAGGAACCCTGTGTGTGTGATGATGGCCGGATGGAACCGGCCGCGCCGCTAAGCTTTTTTGTTGCAATGAACTAAATGCTTCAAATTTACCCTAAAGATGTTTTAAATATAATTTGTTGCAAGTTGATTTTGTGGTTACGGACTCAGACATCGTTTCATTGTGTGGTTATGCATGACTCTATAAGTTACTGTTATTGTTTTTGACTCTAGACTTCAGATCTCGAAGGCGTTCACACTGCGAGCTTTAGTGCCAATCCAGATTAACGGCTCAGATCTGATATTTTGGATCCAGCTGTTGATTCACATTGCCAATATTACATTCCAGTGTGAACAGATTATTAATGATTGTCCTGAACTGACTCGCATGCGCTAGCGATTGATAAGAGTCGCGCAGCACAGTCACACGGAAGTACACAGGACATTGAAGAGATGGCGTGTTTACAGTGCGATCTGCCGCCCGTGAGTTTATAAAACGAGCTCTTTCTCACGCAGGGCTGTGACTGGCCGAAACCGAGTGTTAGTCTGCTAACTGTAATCTGGATCTGATGTTTCAGGGCTGCTAAAGAGGCGAAGAAGGCGAAGCAAGTGACGAAGAAGCCGTCGGCTCAGAGCACCAAGGTTAGATCTGGCTTTCTTCAGCTATTCTCCTGTTAGACTGGGATAACCCTGTTCCTGTGGGATTATCTTTTGCCCCTTGAGGCGTTGCAGTGTGACTGATTCTGTCGCTTCTGTGTCATAAGGTGGCATAGAGCAGAGGGACTGTGTCTACACCTAGTACTCTCTTAATGGGTGCTCAGTGTCATTTATAGTCCTACACTTTATCTCTAACCCTGACTCACTCCTGTAAGTCCTGCATGCGGTCAGTAACGTGCCGCTCTTGTTTCCAGGCCCCCGCTAAGAACGCCCCGAAGCAGAAGATCGCCAAGCCCATGAAGGTCAACGCTCCTCGCGTCGGTGGCAAGCGCTAAACTCGTGCTTTGTGGATTAATAAAGGTTTCGCCATCAACCTCGAGTCTCCTTGAATTGATTTCATTGTTCAGTCATAATCCGTGACATTAACTTTACGAAATGTTATTGATAGTGTGTTGATTTTAAAAATGTTTCAACTGATGCCCATTTTTGCTGCAAGGTTTTTATATATATATATATATATATATATATATATATATATATATATATATATATATATATATATATATATATATTTTGCATTTGACTTAAAGTGAGTGTGTTCTCATACAGTTCATGGAAATCAAATGTATGTGTTGTTGGTTTTTGATAAACAAATCTTGAGTTAATTTCGAATTGTTCTATCAATCTCGCCCAGTCTTGCTCTGCAATCACCCGTGGGATGCGTTCGAACGACTGACGCTGTTGTGTTCGTGGTTTGAGAATCGGATGAGAAAGAGAATTAACTCTATTCCTTTGAGCCTTGAGTTCTGCTCGTCTCCCACTGATGAATGCTAATAGACTTGTGGCCTGTTGCTACCCAGGTAAGTTCGAGATTAGGTTGAGCTAACCCTTTCAGGCTCCAGGTGGATTGGTTTTTAGCGGTGTTCATCGCCATGGTAACTTGCGATACACATAATAACCTAGAATACTGTCTAACACTTGATGGCTGTTTGTCAAGTCTTTGTCGTCGGTTAGGAAACTGTGTGTGTGTGTGTGTGCTCTTTGATAGCAATCTTTCATTTGAAAGTCACGTGTCTAGTATCTGTAAAACCCCATTCTTCCATCTTAATAGTATATCTAAATTACCCAAATGCTCTCATTGAAAAATGCGGAACAATTCGCCTTTGGCTAAGCCCCGCTCCCCTTAGTTACTGTTGCTACGTCCGACAAACAAACTTCATCTGGGCTCTGGTATCAACATGGCTTCTGCTGTGACAGCTCTTCCTGCTGAAATTGTATCAAACTTTTATACAGCAGCAAATAAAGTGTCTGATAGAAGTAGGCAAAGTGGCTGCGATGTACTTTCGAAGGCTATATTCACGACATACAGGCGAAACGCAAGCAACAGCAAGGCATCCAAAGAGGCAAAACAAAAGCATATAGGGATCTCCCAGTCACGTGACCCCTAGCCGCGCGTGTCAGCCATTTTGACGGAATACATCCGTCGGCTACTCGTAGATCCATTGCCGTGGGTAATATATATTATACTAATATTATAATTAGCCTAAATATTGCAATACTTTGCGCTACAGTATTGATATAATTGCATGCGCAAAATCATGGTGCAAAATATCTCGATACTGAACCGAATCGATTTTTCCCCCACCACTTCATGTCATCGCATTTATTATTAGCATCATAAAAATAAATATACAAGAGGAAGATAAACGAATTAGGAATCATATATCCATATGAAGCTCTACAAGTTCTTTTTACAGGCATTAAATGTGTAGAAGAACTTCCTGACATTGAGTTCGGTGGCATTACAGCTGCCTCATTCACTTCCATCACGCTACACCGGAGCTTCATTAAAAGAAAATGATTTTTCAATCATCACGCAAAGGTTGGTCAATGTATTTTTATCACCAAATTATAGTACCTGTAATAATTTTTAAACTGAGTTTACAGGGGAAAACACAAAACAAAATCACCAACAAGATTAAGTGTAGGGTGACCATATTTTGATTACCAAAACATCGGCCCGGCAAACAGATACTCAAATGATACTCGTAATTTACTCAAAGATGCCTTAATACATTTAAAGTGGCCTCCTCTGTATGGATAGAAAATTGTTATAGCCTATTACAAGACACAAATTCAGATAGGCTTCTCAGAGGTTACTCAACATGTTTTATTTTGACAGCTTTCAAAATATCAATGAAATAATGATAGAAATAATGTCTCTTCTGTATTAGAAAAATAAATATATAAATGATAAATAACTAAAAGAAGTACCTCCAAATTGAACAAAAATAGCTCTCAAAAATTTACAAAAACGAACTAACAAAATATATTTATATCTTTAGTTTTCTTCCTCTTTATACTGTTTTTCTTCCTCATCCTTTCCAAGCAATTTTTTGAAAACCAGGACATTTTCATCACTTTATAAAAAACAGCCAGGACGTGAAAACAGGACTGTTGGTCACCCTAATTAAGTGTATCTTTAATTAGTTTGTTTAATCTAGTTTGATCCAAGAAAAACGAATTAATAGCCTACGCTTATATACTTTTTTAGACTTATCACTGACTGTCACTTTATGATAAACTGTCATTGCGACTGTTGTCTCAACCTGTGTTTCTAACGATTTATAAGAAGTGTCAAATAAAATACAAGATCAGCTTTTGCTATTTGAAAACGAAAGAATGTAATGTGATAATACGCCTAACGAATTAAGTGATCTAGGAATGCATGTAGGCCAATGCGTTTTGCCTGTTTATTGCCGCCAACCACTTTTCTCCGTTTTGTTTCTTTTGGGATACGGTCAGTGCCGTCGCAGGTGGGGTGCGAGCAAGCGGCAACATTCTAATCTGAAAAATGAAGCTTACCCGGAAGTGCGAGAAACTGCAATACATCGAAAATCCGCTAGAGGGAGGTCCCAGAAGGGAGCAAATCTCCATAGACCCGCATGTTAAAATGTCAGTTTTCACAGCATAAATTCATGTTTTTACAGGTTGGTCCCATGGACTTTTATTGTATTTTTCGATAGGTTCCGAGTGCCTGACAACTGTGAGGGGGGTGAATTTTTTTCTAACTCGGTAGTTTAGATCGTATTCAGATATATAATGTATGACAAATAAGCGCGTGATTGACAGCTGATAACGGGCTGCGCCGAGTGGAATTCCTGAAATTTGACGTCTCGGCCATGATCTGACACAACACATCATACCACCTCTGTATCCTTTCTGAACATTTGTATTTGAAATATCGTACGATTTTCCAAGATGGCACCGCCCATACCCCCCATAAGCAGCCTCAAAACCGTTCTTCAGAAAGTCTATGGGTGACGTCACAGACGCTTTGTCCATATTTTTTACAGTCTATGGGTGCGAGGCCCTGTGCGAACTTGAAATGCGAGGCCCCTCCCAGGCTCTGAACGCTAGAAGAATTGGCTGCGCAGCCTACTGCTACTTGTTAGCCTTGTCCACTTAAATGAATTATAAATAAACATAAAAAACTAATAGGCTATTTGCAGTATATTAAATCGGTTTTGACCTAATTATTTGGTACTGAAATTACACACTCTGTCGGCGTTGCATCACGTGCACCTGCGCAATAAAGCCTATGATTTCCGAAAATACTATGTCAATTAGTGATATCAGCACATACCTGTTGAGGAATATGCAACATAATTTAGACAATTGTTTTTGTCATAATTTTATAATAACTGACAGACACTATCATTTCAGTGAGACACGAATATATTTTTCAAATGTTTAAAAGGTATTACATTGAAATCTGTTGAATAGAGTGTAAATTTAGTTCCAGGGTATATTAAATAATGATAAGCGGATAATCACCCATATGGAGATCATTAACTTAATTTTTTTTTACTTGCTCAAAACATATACAGCACAATTACAACGCTCGCAATTAAATTAATATTCAGCAAACCTCCATACCAATGTCTTCTAGTACTTTCTTCAATCTGTCTCCAGTGGCTTGGGCTAATCCAAAAAAGTGAAAACAAGGGGGGTGTTCTGAAGACAGGCTGTTACCTGTGAATCAGGTGTGTTCTGAAAACACCCCATTAGCAATTAGTGCTTTCCACCTGATGAAATTAACACGTCAAAAAATAATAAAATCCAGAACGTATCGACCAATAAATGGACCAATCGACTGGGAGATTACAGCCCTATGAAAGAAAACCTTAATTTGTTGGGGGGAGAAAAAAAACACAGCAGGATTGCGAGGCCCCCTAGTGGCGCGAGGCCCTGTGCGGTTGCACAGTTCGCACAGCCCTTGCGACGGCTCTGGATACGGTATAAAGATATTCCTTTTGTATTATCACGTATCTGATCGCATCCAAATGCACAGCATCGCTCGGGCATGATAGGAATATTTCGCGACGAGCTGTTTTATCACCGGCGGTTTAGCATTTTCTTTTCCGTCAAGATGGCTGCTCCAAATGGCGTGACGTCACGCGGGACGTCCCTATACCGGTCACAGTCAAAAAATGAACCACCGTATATCCTACTAATCGAGACGGAGGCTGGGACTAACAATATCAAGGAGAAACACTGTGTTAAAGTCAATGGAGCGCTGTGAAAAAGTGTCGGACCTCTGTGGGAGCTCGTTCTTGGCTGCGCTGTGATTGGTCAATCTACATTATAGGGTGTGGCTTAGCCAAAGGCGAATTAGTTCTTGCGTTCATGACATTAAGGCTAGATTACTGTAATGCTCTACTGGGTGGTTGCCCTGCACGCTTAATAAACAAACTCCAGCTGGTCCAAAACGCAGCCGCTCGAGTTCTTACCAGAACCAGGAAGTATGACCATATTAGCCCGGCTCTGTCAACACTGCATTGGCTCCCTATTAAACATCGTATACATTATAAAATTCAATGTTAGGCTGCATAGATTAGGTCAGCCGGAACCGGGAACACTTCCCTTAAATCCTGATGTATTCGTTATATCATAAGAAGAATGGCGTCTACGCTAATATTAGTCTCTCTGTTTATAACCGAGGTTTACCGCAATCCGCCGGATCCAGATCTGATGAAGGACCTGCGTCTGGACACACTCACACACACACACACACACACACTCCAGATCTGATGAAGGACCTGCGTCTGGACACACTCACACACACACACACACACACACTCCAGATCTGATGAAGCACCTGCGTCTGGACACACTCACTCACTCTCACACACACACACACACTCCAGATCTGATGAAGCACCTGCGTCTGGACACACTCACACACACACACACACACACACACTCCAGATCTGATGAAGGACCTGCGTCTGGACACACTCACTCACTCTCACACACACACACACACTCCAGATCTGATGAAGGACCTGCGTCTGGACACACTCACTCACT